CCTGGGCACCTCGCTTGCATATTCGAAAAGTAGGATTGTATTGCAGCGGCGTCTCCTTCGCCAAGTCTTAATCGCCTCACTTGTTCAACATAATTTCGGCAATCCTTTTCCAAGCAAGTCATGTTTTCATATCCACCCGCTTCAACAACTGCAGAGTTGTAACTTTTATGCAAAGGAATGCCCGCCATATCGTTCACTTCAAGCCGTCGTTTCACATGGGCACTCAGTTCTCGATTACATCTGTACAACCTCGACTTCGAAGGACTTGTTTTATGATTATGTTCAAGATGGACAGTGTTAATTCTCCAAATTCCACACATATCACAAGATGCAGTCAACCTCGCCTTACAACCTGTCTGAATGGTTGGTTGGGGCTTCAAAGAATCGCTTGTATTACTTGTTCTTCTACCTTCACGACTACATGTCAATGTAATATATCTCATAACCCCATCGTCGTCCTTTTTTGAATTTCGTTTTCGAACTGGAAAACCTACGTCGTAGGCATATCTTTTATAAAAATCGAACATCTCATTTTCATCCTTGAACTTCATCCCAACCTCAGGCACAATCACACCATCCATTCCTGATGTATCATCATCCAACATGTTCAAATTGTCCATCACGTTGTCATTTTCGGATTCTATCAAATTCTCATCACCAACATCTTTCACGATTTGTTTCTCTGCAACAAGTTAAAAATTCAAGTGTCATAAACTCATTTTTAAAAATTCAAGTGTTAAAAATTATATGAGATGATGCTTTACAGTTAAGTACAATATTGAGGTTTCCCAATTGGGAAGATGAGTTTACTAATACTATCACACATTAACATTCGGAACCAAACAGGATATTCAATTAAATTTTAGCAAACCAGATCCAAAACAACTAAAAACATTACTCTTCAAAGCAACAAAAATATTGACGCATTTTATCTTCCATTATTTCGATCCAAAGCAAATAACACGTTTTAAAACTAACCGTGCCAAAGTAAATACATACACTAACTGTGCCAAAGCAGAGAACACATTTTTTCCATTATTTCGATCCAAAGCAAATAACACATTTTTACACTAACCGTGCCAAAGTAAATACATACACTAACACATTTTTACAAATTAGTAATACCTTTGCCCGACATTATTTTCGTCCAGTTGAAAATGGATGCAGATTTAGAGAGTTTCCTGATTTATTTCACGGTTAAATCCGGATTCTATGAAAGTACAGGGCTGCCGATTGCAAGGGGAACTTCAAATTTGGAAGAAAATGAGGGAATTCTGTACAGTAGTTGTTCGGGGCTGCCGATTGTGAGGGGAACTTCAAATTTGGAAGAAAATGAGGGAAAGTTGCTGCCAAAAGAGAGGGGGGAAGAAAATGAGGGAAAGTTCTTTTTTTGGGATTTTCATCTCTCTATTGGGCCAGGTATTGGTGGTTTTGGCAAAAACAATGGCTGGTTTGGTTTAAATTTTTTGAGCCGCCACGTCATTCTGTTAAAGGTAATGTAACTGGCAATGTACAAAGAGCATTTCTCAATTTCTATTCTTTTTATTCAAATTTATCTTCAAAACTATTGATAAGTACCTCGTGAACAGTTATTAAAAGTCAACAATTTGCATTAAAAAGAACATTTCACTTTCACGCATTTCATTAATTTGAATTTCGTTTATAATTGTTAAATCCTATGTTGGCTTATTTTAGCGTGTTTAGATAAATATATACGAATTATTGGACAATGATAAGTGTATTTTACACCTTA